AACTTTTTATTAGCCGTGCTACCATATGTTCTGACTATAGGACAACATTCAACACTCTCGGGCCACATGTTTTGTAGTTCGGTGAGGTACGCAGCTGTGACACGGATTTCGCTAGCGGACCATCCAAGCAGTGTTTCAAGAATATAACACCACTGTTCTTTATCACGGGTTATTATTTCGTGCCCTCGACATGCTTCAGTATCAGGAACCCAATGAAGTAGTTTTATTCTGGTTGAAGTTTCCTTCCGGTAATCCTCTAAGGTGCGGTTAACTCGAGAACTTTCGCCCCATGGGATGTCTGGAAAGATACGGATGGAGCAGTGTTCATTTCTGAGACTACCTGTCGACAGTAGCACTGATACTAGTACAGTGGTGGAGTTCAGCACAACAAGCAGAAGTCTTGGCTATCCGGAATGTTTAGGGTTGGCGTGTCGTGTAATACGCATTACGTGTACAGGTTTCAGTACAACTGCGATTAGGTTACTAATAATGTTCCACTGGTTGAGATCATACAACTGCCTGCTTCTTACCGATGTCGACTTTGGTTCTGGGATATTGGAGCACAATTTATTTTCACCTTGCGACATATTGCGGTTAGTCATTGAAACACTAGGAGGTTTACCGCAGTAAACCGGTGGTGCGCGCACCAGAATAACTCCACTACGCTCCTCATTTTTCAATCCATTTGGGAATGCTGTTAATTGTAAATGACGGCTGTTCTTGGAAGCAACCGTAACCCAACTTTCGTTAGTATCGGCTTGCACTTTTCTACACACTCCGTCGGGAGTTTGGAAGTATCCTTACGTGTAGTTACTCCGATCGAACCGCGAACCGCATTCTTCCAATGTAAGTCACGTGTAGCATTGGAACAGTCATTGATTTTGTGGGCTCTGGGGGTCGCGTTGCTTACGGTGCTACTAGCCGTTATCCTCGGTATAGGGGCTGCACTTTCTGCGGAGGCTTGTGTTGCACAGTCCGCTATGCTTACCTTAACCGTGGTGCTTTTGGTTGTCACCATTTCCTCAAACTTGGCTAGTAGCTGATCGTACTTCTGAGATAATAGGATCACGCTTTTATCAATGGGATAGATGTGCATTCTACGCAGAACCACAGATTCTGGTTTGTTTAATACCTTGGCCTGACTAGGTTTAACGCGGAGACATTTCGCATGGAAAAGCTTGCAACCGTTACTGCACGAAATGTCCTCCTTAACAAGTTTGGAACCTGATCTGCGTTGACCTTTGGACTGTGGCACACTGGACAATGCGATTGTAGAGCAAACGTTACGAAATAGTTGTATGACTCACCGTTTATGGTAAAAAGTTTTTCTGTTACTGAAGCAGACGACAAGGTCACAGTGTTCATATTGCCAGTCGAATGTGTCAGCGTGAACATGGAGCAAATTACATTATGGAGTGAGGGCGAATTTTCATGGTTAGGCCTATGGATCACGCCGCGTGAATTTGCCGTGAGACAAGTAGCTGCTCCAAGGAATGTTGGATTTGAACGATTGGCAGTTCGTTCGAAAACCGTTGAAATGTTCTATCGAGTGAGATAAAACAATATCTTCGATGGCTGGAGTTACACAAATTTTGGCGCTTGGATATCGGAGAAACACTGCCCAGAATTTAGAATGCAGGCAAATTTAAAATGCACTGGGGTGTATTCGAGGAAATGGTATCACAAGGTGAAGCTTTTAAAAGCAAGACGAATAAGTATATATCCAAAGTTGTGCGACAAAATTTTGCTGAGTAACGTTGAAAATACCATGAATGCACAAGTGAGCGATTAGCACATACATTCGCTCAAGGTTTGTGGTGCATCAGGGGAAGCCGCGGCTCTAAGGGAGCAAGCCTGTACCTTTTACAACTGTAACGTGCCTGATGACGAAGAATGAAACAAACTGGTACTCTAGTAAGATCTGAGGTAGTAGCATACTACCTAGTCCCACTTAGTTGAAATGGCGGCTCTGCGATTTTCCACACGGGTGGTTGCAGTCTGACAATCGAGCTATCACTTCCTCTCGCGGCACAACACCTGGCAGTCTACTGGAACCAACCATCAAAGTAGTTGCGTGGAATGCTTTCTGGATCCGCCGACCCCCAGGTCCGGATTAATCAGACTAAGGATGTCGCGCGGGAAAAAGCCCCAAGTACTTGATAACATATGAATGGGTCGTTGGGCCAATTCCAACTCTACGACAGCGAAGGAAAAGTTATCATGTGGGTTGTATGCTAAGAACACGCGGCATCGAATGTGATGGGCTTTTAATTTCAGCGGCACGCAGGCTTCGGTGGAGCTGATTGGAGATCAAAATGGCTTTAAAATTTTGGGGCGACAGGTGCCTGAAGATTACAGACATCAGCTAGTAAAAACAGGTACGCCTTGGATATGATGCATTCTGGAATTGAGTGGCATCCTTGACTTGCGTGCCATTAAAATGACATGCACAAACCTTGTCAGTAAAACCGTGTAGAGACGGAAGGAAAACGTCGCGATGTATACATCCCCCAAAGTGTCTGCCATCTCAACAAACTAATGTACGCTGAGTTGGGTAAGGAAAGATGACACGAATCTGCCTGTTCCCCTAGATTTATAGCTTTGTTTCTTCCTTGACGGTGGGAAGATGACCACTAGGGTCTATGCAGTTCTGCGTTTCTAAAACATATTATACGAGACCACAGGATCTACGGCCCAATGGTATGAACATTACTATCCACGGCAACGGACTAATAGTGTCATATATTTTCAAAAGTTTGATAGCTACTGTACAGGGGCACGTTTCTTTTGTCATCTAGGTCTTCTGGGATCTGAGATTGCGTAGCATGTTGGTCAATGCGGATCAGCCAAGGAGGAAACGATAAAATGTTACGTTGACCCTATTGACTGCAGAACTAGGCCGTATACCGGTAAGGAGTATCTATTGCTGCGCTAGGTTGCATGCGGATCCCGTATTGCTGCAAAGCTCTATGGTAATGTCTAGCAATGGGTCAAGGGTAGATTACCTAGGCATTAAGTCTAACTAACATTCATGCTGTCCGCCCACCAGGAGTTGAATCCACCCACAATAGAGAGCAGAGTATAAACGCTGTCGATGGCTCAGTATGATCACCAATTATGGCTTGTCTCATTCCTACCTTCACATGCCAGCTCATTTTACTTAAAAGCAAGTTTGACTCCGGACTCCTACAACTTAGGCACGAGTGTACTGCAGCGTTTATCTGTTGAGGGTAACCTTGGTGTACTGGTTCAGAGTGAATTGGAACGTAAGGCAAAATTAACAGCACGAGCTGGAAAGAAATACACCAGAATCTTGCGAAGAGCGTTCGGAATCATAGACATCTCTATTTTTCGTCAAGTACCTGGTGCTTATGCAAGTCTCACGTCAAATTCATAATTACCGCCTGACAGTTCTGGATACACTATGATCTTATTATCCTGGAACAAGGGGCTGTTAAGTACGTCATTGGGACAAGAAACAACCCATACAAATAGGGATAGAAATGCCTAGGAATACTCATCGTATAGTAGAATGCGAACAGACCTACTAATAAATGAATGACTTGCTCCCACAAAATACATATTATGTGTGCCAATAACTGCTATGATTCAGCAGTATCACCAACCTGAATTGCCATTGCATGAAGCTTTCCGAAGGTTACAGCTACCAGCAATGTCGCAGAAATTTCTCTCCCGTTCGTGTACGTTTTTCTTGGAACACCCTCTCTGAATTGGTTGTTTCTTTACAGGTACTAAGCGCAGTTAAAAGGTGGTTGGATGAAGCACTCAGCCGGCCATATTTTGTTGCGACATTAAGTTCTGTTCCGATTTCGGGGTAACATGCTTGGTTTATATATATATATATATATATATATATATATATATATATATATATATATATATATATGCAACAGTCTATGAATAGACATTGCACCATCGGAAACCATGGAACTCAAAACAAGGTACAGAAATAGTAAAAGAAAACACAACACAACACAACAATGTCCACGGTTTCGTCAGAGGGCGAAATACTACCCGGTTGCCCAAGCCGAAGTAGGGTGTTGACTTAGGGGACACCACCCCGAGCCTTTGGCTGAATAGCCTGTCCGCAAGGCAGCGGAGCGAATTCAGGGAATCGCGCCCATTGGGAGCCGGTGACTGATTGAGCAGTTCATACGCCTTTCGTTTGTTCCTTTGCCAAACAGGGGCCCAATGCTCCCCGAAATTACAGTATCAACTTGCTGGAATACAATGCTTCGCCAGGATGAAGCAAGGGGCAGTGACTTTATTTGGTGGCGAGTCACGTCCGCCACGTCACAGTGTTGTTAAACGGACATATGTGGCTTTTTATAGGGAGAACGCTTGCCAGGAGAAAACCAACCACGTCCTGCAACACTGCCGCCGAAACCATTTGCTGGAACGGGAAAATCCCGAACCACCCAGCTGGCACCACGAGGAGGTTGTTCGGCAAGCCAGCCAGTTGCCAAACGTTTGCGCTGTGGAACAATCTGAGAAGCAGAACCACTACCTACTATAGACATAAAAATGTGTATATGGCTTCTTACCAACGTGACTATTAACTGTTTTCTGGCGCAAAGTTTATGAAAATGTCCACAAAACCCCCGCAAAGCGTAAGCTTCTTAAAGCGCATACTCCTCATCTTTCGTATATTCCTCAAACCGTAAAAGCTGAGTTGGGAATATCTGACTTATTAAAATGGCAAGCTATCTTCGTGCGTGGGCGCTTAGAGTCCGATGGTCTGGACTTTTGGTAACATTCACTGCTGCACGTTCAACAGGTCAAGCAGACTCACGCAGAACTGATCCAGCTGTACCAAGATATATTCGAACTCTTCTCCTGTGCAGAAGCCACTACTTTAACCGAACACGTGTCATTTAAAGAAAAGTATTGTTTCATATTACCATGATATTTGCTAAATATGTTCTGGGTGATTGGTTCTGTTGGTTTATGCAAAACTTCTTACTCATCATGTTTGTTAGGACCTACGCAGGACCACATATCGCTGGCTCCGATGCGCTCGATATAGAACCATTATCGAACGAGATACTTACAAGTTCCTGGAGGCGCGACACAACAATGTTGCAAGTACGTCCGTTTTGCTGTTTGTACCTTACAATATCATTCGTTTCATTTCAATAGAACAACCATATAAAGTAGGAATATTAGTAGCTCGGGTTGTATGAGAAAATGTTTGTTTGCTTGCCAAGCTGAGCAATTTAACTGAGAACGTTTAGCCACAGTCAAAGTGACGCCTTCGGTTGCGTGTGGCCGTGCTAGCCTAATAGCAGCGGCCGTAGTAATGGTATTGAAAGTAAAAGCTGAGTTTTAGACAAATCCGGGACGGATGCAAGTGGCTGTCAGGCTAACCGTTATTTACATTTCAAATCTCATTGTTCAACTTGGGTCATTATTGGCTGCCTAATTTTGCACTTGACATGATTTGGGTGGTTGGTATTACTTACTCTAAAGTTTGTCTCGAGTTGAGATAGCTCCTCGCGACACCATTGGTGCAAAGCCTACGTTGGTCTTGGAAGCAGCTACAAAAGCCGTCTTGCTGCCTTCTATCCTTTCAAGCGTGCGTTTTCAACTCATTTGATGGCTTCCTTTTTGACTTGTTGTTAGCCCTGGTCGAGGTCAGTGCGCGTGTTTAATGAGTTCTTCGTATAGAACCAGGCGTCGGGGAAATCCCTTTCTTTTCATTTTTCTCCGTGTACCAGAAGCTCTATGGTACTCCAGTCAGAAACGTACCCTGAGACGAACGACGCGGCATAATCATGATTACAGGCGTGTTTGTGCTCTCCTATTCTTTTGGACAAGTTCCTCCCTGACTGGCCTGCATTGTCATTTTCGCATTTTCGACACCGCATTCTACATACAGCATTATTCTTTCCGAACACCTCTTCTATTTGATTTTGACAAGGTTATACTCAATGTGGCTGCTGCTTTGTGGGTCAGTAGATGTTTCACTATCGTACTTCTTCTTGTGTATTAGATGTTTTTTAGGTAAGAGAACGGTTAAAAGTTAATCAAGACTGGTCACTGAGATACAGTCGACTAAGCATCATTCTTTTGGTGTCTTTCTAAACGTCTGTATCTGAGCTGATATTCAATTTTCCTGATCTACCTGTGATAAGAGTTCTATAGAAGTATGCACTTACAAGGTCATGCTAACACAGGCGTGTCTCGTATCTTCGAGGATAGTTTATTTAAAGTCTGGCCGCTATTTCGGGTACATTCTTCACGTATGGCAGGACAACTAATTGCTTTCTCATCGGTATCTCTCCGCATTTGACGTTCTACGGTTCAGGCATCAGTGAACGAAACCGCGTGGGTGCCTCGTGTTTAAGAAAGACATGAAAGATGCTGTTCATCTTTCCATTTTGCTTTCAAAGTGTTGCAGTGTGATTCTACCCGTGTATTGATCATTCTATAACATTTCAGATAGTTGTTGAAATTTAGAACTTGCTCAATGTGCATTTATTTCCATAAACCGAAATCTGCAGTTCACCTTCGATGTGTGGTGGCGGTTTTCTAACAAGAAGGATATAACCTCTACCACGGGTTTAAACATTAAATTTATATTACTTATGAGTAGAAGGATTTTAACGGGTATTTTTGATGTAGTTAAGGCGACAGCTCGAGATTTTGTGTACGCCTTGTCAATATTCCGACAGCTTGTTTGTTGCTACTCAGGGGTTTTGTGATAGCCTCTTTGGCAAGCTCTGCCGTAATTAACGTGAACAAGTCTGTGAAGTCAAAGTACATCACTAGTTTTTTTCAGGTCAATCCGCATGTCTTTAATGTTACCGGGAAATTGCTGAACAAATCCATAGTTTAATATCGTCTAGTATACCCATTTTTATTGCATATTGCAAGGAGAAACATAAGCGATACGCTCTGAGATGGCGGCGAGACTGCTACGACCTTTTGGAATCAGAGTTGCTCACAAGCCGAAAGAAACCACCGGAGACAACCTCTTCAATGGTAAAGACCGGCTTGGCAAAGAAGAAACAAGTAGTGTGATTTACAAAATCCACTGCAAAAATTGTAACAAATACTATGTGGGCCAGACAGGAAGAAAGCTCGGCACTAGGCTACATGAGCATAGCCTAGCCATCCGCCGACATGACCAGAACTCCCTGATGTCGGTACAGATGGACGCTCGGCCGGTGGCCGAGTGGTCGGCACGTTTGCTTTCCAACCATAAGGTCACCGGTTCGAATCCGCGTAGGGGTGGGCGTCCTCGCGGTATACTCAGCCCGCGCGCGACTGGTGGTGGTCGCGCGGCAGCGAAGCGCCGTTACGGCGTATAAGCTGACACATCATCACATCATCATCACATATGGACGCTGAGAATCATCAATTTGATTTGGAGAATGTCAGGATCATAGGCAGAGCAAAAAGTTGAAAAGCACGCGAGTTCATCGAGGCTTGGTACTTGGGAAAGAACTCAATCAACAGCCACTTAGATCTAGACACTGCCTATGAGACACTGATGGTCAAAAGAATAGTCCGCCCCAGATCAACTGAACGAAGGAACGTCATTGAGATGGACTCTATCCAACAGTACGAGAGAGCTGACTACACGGTCATTTCACGTGGACCAATCGAATCCTGACGTTCGAATCAAGTGGTCAATAATTACTTGGATATGTAAGTGGCCCGCATAAATCGCACTGATGATGTTGTCTAGTCTGACGATGAAACATTTGCAGCCAAATCAGCCAGCTCGGAGAACACCCGCATACCCTCATCCGCATCGCGATCTACAAATATTCTCACGGATTTCTAAAACAACTGTTTTCGATTTATTCATCAGCAGGCTCGGTACAGAAATATACATTACGAAAAGTTCATTCGGGAAACAGAGAACAACTATTAGTTAAACAAACATTTTGAATTGTTAACGTAACGTGTCATGTGGTCAACTGGTTGAAGTCATGTGACACCACTGAGCGAGATCCGATCCATCTTTTCTAGTGGTTGGCCAGGGTAGTTGTACTACTTGGACATACTTCTTCTGAATGCATAGATTAGGTTTTGTCCACCTGATGCAAACCGCTTCAGCGGTAGCAATTGGGCAAGCGCGTGACCAATGGTGTAGCTGCGATGGCACTCGATAGAGGATCGCAAATGACTTGCGCTTATTACTCAGATGATCGGTGCAGATCAGATGGTTCGTTATTGCCCTCAGCTTAGTTTTGTCCTGTTTGGTGACGAGCGACGTTGGTAAATGTTCTTTAATTCGCTTTTCCAAGTACCTGGTCGTGCGCGCAATGTACCTAGCTCCACAGGAGCCGGTGAACCGGTAGATTACCATTGATTAGCGTTGATCAGACATCATGTCTTAGAATCTAGGAACAATAAACGAACTGCTTGTAAAAGCGATACTTAGTTGAGCTGCAAGTCTGAATCAGTCGTCGTGTGCATATCTCAACCGGTATGTCACCCTTAAAGGGAAGCTGGAGAAAAAGCTGTTTCTTTACCGTTTGTTCTGCTACTAGGCTTTATATGGACTTCAATGAATCGTTCTGGATAACTGTTTTCGGGAAGCATTTGCCTGATTCGTTTCATTTCCTCTTCGATTGCGTCCTCACTACAGGTCTTTCGTGCATGATTTGACAGAGTATATACTAGTGTTCTTTTACGGCTAATAGGCACAAACTCCGGAAGTGTGTGTATTGGCCTGTCCAGTACGGCTTTCTATATAATCCTAACTGGACTGATCCTTCTTCTCGTCGCTTTAAGTTTGCATCCAAAAAGTGCGTTTGGTTGTCAATTTCTTCTTCAGCTGTGAAAGCCGCGTTGGGATGTGCCTTGTTAAAACACTCGACGCCATTCTGCAAGTGGTTCGTCTGCTCAATTAGACAGAGTATTTCGTCAACATAACGTAGGTAGAAGCGTAGGCCCGAGATGACCGATTTTAATGGGCCATCTTTTTACATTCCCATATATATATATATATATATATCAACCGATAGTGGTCCGAGAGGTGATCCCATCGCTACGCCATCTACTTGTCTGTACAAATCGTTGTTGAATTGGAATTGATGTGCATCTGAGTAAAAGCTGCTTTAAGTGGACAGTTGGTATCTCGATCTTTATCTTGTGCTTCTCAGGGGAACCACAAAGAAAGTTGGCTGTTTCCAGCGGCGAGATATTCGTGAACAGAGATACGACGTCTAGAGAAAACATTCGATAGACTGATGTTCATGGTTTTAACCTTTCCAACAAATTGGAAGGTGTCCGTAGGTTGATGAGGGGTTATCATTTTCTTAGTAGGATCCAAAATAGACGCTAACCATTTTTCGATGCTGTGATATGGTGTGTTCCTGATATCTAATATCGGTCGCAATGGTGCACTCGGATTGTGTACTTTTGCGAGACCGTAAAGTGTAGGAAGTATGGAGCCGGTGGGTCTTAGCCTTTCAAATCTTTCTTTACTTATGTGGCCATCAGTGACCAGTAATTTCAAACATTTTGTCAGTTGTTCTTCTGTGTAATCTGTTTTATCCTTCTCCCGCTCACATCGTACAAATTTGGAGTAGTCCGAGAGGACAGTTTTCATTTTTTGCACGTATTCCGTGCGGTCCATGATCACGGTGGGCGTGCTCGGAAGAGATAAAATTCGCCGCACTGCAACGAAATTCTTGTGCACTTTTGATGACCGCAGAATTTTGCAGTGTGTGAATTGCGCGCCTTTATTTTGTTACTCCTTGCCATTGAAGTCTGATCCGGCAGATGGAGCTCTTTCAAACATGCTATACACCTGATTGGTTAGTTGCAGCGTTAGATTGCCTTCGATGCACCGGTACCTTGACATTTCATCCAGGAGCTGATTCGAGTATCTAGGTCAAGGCATAACACCGTTATATCAGTAGGTACTCTAGCAAGCTCGGATGGACCTGAAGTAAATGTTCCATGTTGCCTGCATGAACTAGGTGGCTGCTGAGATGCTCTGAGGTCATTCGCCGAATGTGTAGCAAGTGGCGGTGTACACGCTGCTTGCTTAAGCAGATGAGCCGTGATCGCGTCGGCTAACTGTGGGGCTTGAGTGCGAGAGCAGACATTGGTGAATATGTTGA